CTTTTAAAAGCCATAGAAGATACTGGATTTGAAGCCATATTAATTAGCACAGGAGAAGATAGGAGCAAAATATTGCTGAAAGTTGATGGAGTATTCACTGAAGATTCAATGAGGATTATTGAAAGTTCTCTTAGAGCACTCTCGGGCATTGAAGACATTGATATTGATCCTGAACTGAAGAAGTTATCCATTTCTTATAAATCAGATATAATAGGACCTAGAAATTTTATTCAAGTAATTGAGTCAACTGGTTCTGGAGAGTTCAAGGCAATGATATTTCCGGAAGGAGATGGGAAACAATCCCATAGACAAGAAGAAATCGAACACTATCGTCAGTCCTTTCTCTGGAGCTTGGTTTTTACCATTCCGGTTTTCTTGACCTCCATGGTCTTCATGTATATTCCTGGTCTGAAGGATGGATTGGATATTAAAGTTGTCAACATGCTTAGCATTGGTGAGATTTTGCGCTGGGTGCTCTCTACTCCCGTGCAATTCATCATTGGCCGACATTTCTACTCTGGTTCTTACAAAGCACTACGTCATGGTTCTGCAAACATGGATGTTCTGATTGCTTTGGGAACAAATGCAGCCTACTTTTATTCTGTCTACTCGGTGTTGAGAGCTGCAACTTCTCCAAGCTTCAAGTCTACTGATTTTTTTGAGACCAGCTCAATGCTCATTTCCTTCATTCTACTTGGGAAGTATCTTGAAGTTTTGGCCAAAGGAAAAACATCCGAGGCTATTGCTAAGCTCATGAACTTGGCCCCTGAGACAGCAACACTATTACAGTTTGATGACGAAGGGAATGTGGTGAAAGAGGAAGAAATTGATAGCCGACTGATACAGAAGAACGATGTGATCAGAATCCTTCCTGGTGCAAAAGTAGCCTGTGATGGTTTTGTCATCTGGGGACAAAGCCACGTGAATGAGAGCATGATAACTGGAGAATCTCGGCCAGTGGCCAAAAGGAAAGGCGATACGGTGATTGGAGGAACTGTGAATGAGAATGGTGTTCTGCATATTAGAGCTACTAAAGTTGGATCAGAGAGTGCTCTTTCACAGATTGTTCAGCTGGTTGAATCAGCACAAATGGCTAAAGCTCCTGTTCAAAAATTTGCTGATCGTATTTCTAAATATTTTGTGCCTCTTGTGAGTATTAACTGGCTTGCTGTTGAGATTTATGTTATCATCTTATGACTCTCAGAGAGTTGATGATCTTTTTGCTATTTCAGGTTATTATTCTCTCCTTTTCCACTTGGCTGGCCTGGTATTTATCTGGGAAGTACAACAGCTATCCTAAATCCTGGATTCCGTCTTCTATTGATAGTTTTCAGCTTGCCCTTCAATTTGGTATATCTGTTATGGTTATAGCTTGCCCGTGTGCTCTTGGTCTTGCTACTCCAACTGCTGTAATGGTTGGCACAGGAGTTGGTGCTTCTCGAGGTGTTCTTATTAAAGGCGGGCAGGCTTTGGAAAGCGCACAAAAGGTACGTCCCAAAAATTCTGAACTATGCTTCCGGCAATGCCAGTTCATAAAAATTTAACTTGACAAAAATTCATCATCTGTTCCTGTAGGTGAACTGTATAGTGTTTGATAAGACGGGGACTCTTACAATGGGCAAACCAGTCGTTGTAAATACTAAGCTTTTCAGATCTATGGTACTTCGAGAGTTTTACGAATTGGTTGCTGCAGCTGAGGTAAATTTTAGTCTGGTTTGGACTTGTTGAGTGGCCCCTGTTGTTGAGTATTCTTTTGTTTCCCTACAAGTTCTATCGCCTTTGTTAACTTAGCCACGTTACTGTCCCCCTGCTAGTTTCGAAAGCATTTAGAAATGATGTTCTTTGAGCCTGGAATTTGTTGCATAATATTAGTGCAGTTAAAGTTGTAGCATCACAGGATACTCTTCAGAACAGTTTATGCCTTTTAAACTAGATTTATCAAGATAATGCTCCGATATTCTCCTGCTGACTCTGCTTAAGCAGACAATATGAGGCACTATCATTTTTGAAGTCAGTGGATTGGATGAAGCTCTAACGTTAATGACCTCATTCAATCTTTTCTTTGAGTCTTCACTATCGGGGGCTAGATGGATAGCTAGTAGTTATGAGCAGCAGTACCCTATCTGTTAATTTTTTCTGGCTCACGAGTTCCTCGGACACTATCATGGTCAAACATTTTTCTAATATAATGAACACAAGCGTTTATCCTTGCCAATATCTAAGAAGAATATCTTAAACTTGAATTTCAGGTAAATAGCGAGCATCCCTTGGCCAAGGCAATTGTTGAATATGCTAAAAAGTTTAGAGAGGATGAGGAGAATCCTGTGTGGCCTGAAGCCGAGGACTTTGAGTCTATAACTGGCCACGGTGTGAAGGCTGTTATCCACAACAAAAAAGTAATAGTTGGAAACAAGAGGTTGATGTTAGAGCAAGGCATTTCTGTTCCTGTTGATGCCGATGAAGTACTAGCAGAAGCAGAAGAATTGGCTCAAACTGGAATTCTTGTATCAATTGATAGTGAACTGATTGGTGTTGTTGCTATATCTGATCCAGTGAAGCCTGGAGCTCGTGAAGTCGTTTCTCTTCTTAAGTCTATGAATGTTGAGAGTAAGCTAGTAACAGGTGACAATTGGGGAACAGCTAATGCCATTGCCAAGGAAGTTGGCATTAACGATGTTATCGCAGAAGCAAAACCTGAAGACAAAGCAGAAAAAGTGAAGGAACTACAGGTAAATTTTGATAACATGAAAAGATAACAAATTTTGCTTTTAAAGAACTAATTAGCCTAATTTAATACTAAAATTTTCTTCTATTATACTGATTAGTACTCCATCTGCTCCATTTTACATGACACTTCTTTTCTAGTCCGTGAAGATAACACATTTTGCTTTTAAAGAACTAATTAGCCTCATTTAATACTAAAATTTTCTTCTATTATACTGATTAGTACTCCATCTGCTCCATTTTACATGACACTTCTTTTCTAGTCCGTGAAGATAACACATTTTGCTTTTAAAGAACTAATTAGCCTCATTTAATACTAAAATTTTCTTCTATTATACTGATTAGTACTCCATCTGCTCTATTTTACATGACACTCTTTCTTTTCTAGTCTGTGAAAGGGAGCCTTGGCGTAACTAGTAAAGTTGCTGCCATGTGACTAGGAGGTCACAGGTTCGAGCCGTGGAAACGACCTCTTGCAGAAATGCAGGGTAAGGCTGCATGCGATAGATCCTTGTGGTCGGGCCCTTCCCCGGACCCCCCGCATAGCGGGAGCTTAGTGTATCGGGCTGCCCTTTTTCTTTCTTTTCTAGTCCGTTGAGGAAAAGAATGACGCATTTTCATATTTGGAACCTATTTAGCTTAAATTTTACATTTAACCCTTAAAGTATGTTATAGCCATAGAAATGTCATGTTATGTTTAAAATCGCAAGTTCTGAGGACACTTTTGGTATGTGCCAAAAGCCTTTCTTAAACTACGTGTCCAGTAAAACACCCCTATTTGTTAAGGCTGGTGCTTAATTCTCTTAATTGATCAGCAGAGTTTGGGAAAAGTTGTTGCAATGGTGGGAGATGGAATTAACGACTCGCCAGCGCTTGTAGCAGCAGATGTTGGAATGGCAATAGGTGCAGGGACAGATATAGCTATTGAGGCAGCTGATATTGTCCTAATGAAAAGCAATCTTGAAGATGTCATAACTGCTATTGATCTTTCCAGGAAAACTTTTGGCCGAATTCGCCTGAACTACTTTTGGGCATTTGGCTATAACCTTCTTGGCATCCCTATTGCTGCCGGAGCTCTTTTCCCATCTACTAGATTTCGTTTGCCGCCGTGGGTAGCAGGAGCAGCAATGGCTGCCTCTTCAGTAAGTGTTGTCTGCAGCTCTCTTTTGCTGAAGAATTACAAGAGGCCAAAGCAGCTTGATAACCTTGAAATTGGAGGCATAACTATTGAGTCCTAAGATCTGTAAATATGTTACATATTAGGAGTATAATGTTTTCATTACTAAAGCATGTAAATATGTTGCTCCGGGCTTTGGTCTATTAGTAAGAGCGCAATGCGTGATATGTGGGTTAAACTAGCTTGGTTGCATTCTCATAATGGTAGCTTCCTCGACCTTTCTGTCTACTGAAATTTATGGGAGTTAGAAGTATTTGGTCAAGCTTTTGGAAGAAAAAAAAAATGCTTTTGAGAAGAAACAGAAGCAGTTTTGGAGAAGAAAAAAAAGTTTTATAGGATGAGCCGGTCGATCCTAACATTAGCACACCTAGGGGTTCGAACTGATCAACCATAGACAAAGCTTATTTAAGTGGAAAAGGATAGATGAACTGACTCATTATCTATTGAGTTTCGAACTGGCGCCACTGATTGTAGGCAAGATTCAAGTACAGTGATTCATTTTTTAAACTATGTTATTGCAAGTTCATAAAAGTAAAATTGTAGGTATAGCTAGTGAAGTGTCCTTTCTATCACCATGTATACCGATATGTGGTTGCTTTTGAACGAAGTGCTAATCCCATTCATTTTGAAAAAATTACCCTCTATAGCCCCTCAAAAATTTAAGAGCCCATATTTTTGCCCACCGACATAAAATGGGGAAGTTTACATAAATACATGTAGAATCATAAAATATTTCTTAATCTACAACTATAAAGTAATTAACATATCTTACAACTTAAACACGATAAAAGAATAGAAGAAATAGCTCTTAATACAGTATCTTCCTATAAATGAGGAAACTGAATATCAAACATATTTAATAAAATCAATTGTTCCCTAAAAATACTCCATCACAATTCCTATAAATAAGGAAACTTAATACGGAAAATTCTCCATTGGCTTTTTATTTGTATTCTCCTTCTCCACCACATTTTCAACAAACAATCCATTCTTTATCAAATTTTCTTTTCTCTAGTAGCAGGAGAAATAATCTTTAAATAAAAAGTACCCAAAAAAAAAGGGAACAAAATAGATCATAATCAATTTATAACATGTAACAAAGATATGATTTATTGTATATTATATATACCAAGTGTCATATAAGTTTATATTATATAATGTATTGTATACTGTATTGATTAGTAATATACATCCGATAAACTAAAGTGGTATTCTACAATAAAAGGTATGTTGTATTTGTCACACCTCCTTTTTATCCCTCCAAAAGATAATGTGTATTATGGATTGTGGGTTAAAGAGTTTTTCCAATTAAAGTGACAAACTTGAGTATGGATTATTTTATTTACAGAGTCGCCACTTGGAATTGATTTTTAGGTGTTCCAAGTCACCTTTTATTTGAATCCCTAGTCAAAGGAAGGTTTGACTCTATTTTTTATCGGTCTGCAAAAACAAAGTTCGGGTAAGGAATTCTGTTGACCGGGGAGAAGGTGTAAGGCATTCCCGAGTCCCGTGATTCTAGCACGGTCGCTTTATTGACCATATTTGGCTTAAATTAATTTTGGATAAATTGTGATTTATTTGGTTTTCAATATTTTATCTATCCGCTTTTATTTATTAAAATTGTTGAAGAGTGATTTGAATAATATTAAATTGTCCTAACCGCACCGCGTGAGCGAATGTGCGACCGAGACGAATCTTATTAATTTTATCATAACAGCACTACGCAAGCGAATCTGCAGTCATGACAAAAATTAATACAACGTTATTAATTTTTTATTTTTTATTTTTTGGAAGAATTTAAAACATTTTGAGAAAGTTAACTAAAAAAAACTATCACGCTGCGCAAGCGAGTCCGTGAATGAAAAAGTTAAAGCGCGCCTACTAGTTGTCTAGTAGTTTAACTAATTAATGAAAAGAAAATGTGTTAATTAATTAGTAACGGGAAATCTGATTTTTATTATTATTTTCTAGCCTTATTATTGGTAAAATTATGCAAATAAATGTTGGACCAACTCAATCTATTTTAAAGAAGGAAATTTTACCACCTATAGAATAGGTTAGTACCCTATTTATATTAAATAAATACCATTTTAAATATTACATCCTATAAATACCTTTTATAGTTTATAGCAAAAAATCTAAATATAGTTTCATCCTACAATTAAGGCACCATATATGCTACAAAATATTTTTCTCTCATTTTTTATATTTTCTCTCACCTAATTAGCGTATATCTCCTCTGACCAGCTTTTCCCTCTCTTCTTCCATACACTTTACCCTCTTCTTCCATAAACCTACGTTTCATAAATCTTTTCCCACCCTAAATCTCTATTTCTCCGCCATTGTCACCTCTACTCTCTTCTCCCACATCGTTACTCAAATTCTTTGTCCTCTCTGTATTTTCACAGCATAATCAATCTTTATTATTATTTGGCATACAAAAACAGATCTATAAAACAACAAATTTCAGCAAGAAAAACGGAAGAAATATAGAGATAGAGAAAGTAGAGGAGAAAGAGATCTAACCGTCCATCTCAACGATAGGGTTTTCAACCTTGATTTTGTCGAAAGCCATGTTTACAGATGAAAGAGGTGAAACTGTATTCACATGTATTCAGCAACATTCATTTATATATTTTAGATGTATTAAAAAGTTGTGATTATTCTCTTGTATTCAGTTTTAATCAGTTGTAATTAACTATTTTATTCAGCAGTAGTTAGTTGTATTCAAGTGTTTTATACAACTGTATTCAGTTGTATTCAGTTGTAGTTAGTTATATTCAACTATTTTATTCAGCAGAAGTTAGTTGTATTTTGTTGCATTCAAGAGTTTTATTCAGCTGTATTCAATTGTATTTTGTTGTATTCAATAGAAAAAAAGGAGAAGAGAATTGAGAAGTTCGATCAGATGTGTTGCTCTGGTTTTTCCTTCTTTTCACGTTTTTGAGTTGCTTTCTTTGAGCAAAATACAAATTAGTGTGTACTCGTTTTAGTTCTTTGAGTTAAATTAGGAGACTATCATGTGATTTGATTTTCTTCCGTTTTAACAAGTTTAAGTTCCCAGAATTTGCGCAAAAAAGTTACTGTATTTCACTGAAATTTTGCTTGAATACATTTAAATACAACTGAAATTTCGCTTGAATACAGTTAAATACAGATAACACTTAGCTGGATTTTCCGTTTTTACGCCTATTTTTTTTTCTTGTATTAATGAATACAACCGTTTAAATACATGAAATACATTGTATAAAAACATAAAAGATATCTATAGAGCGTAATATAGCAAAAGGTATCTATAAATGACTAATTAAGACTAAAAGATGGTGCTTTGTGAAAAATTCTCTTTAAAAAAATAGGTCAACTTCTTGTTAAAGGAGAAATGCGCCAGCTTAAGGATTTTAAAAGATGGGACATCTATTTATTTATTTCTTAGAAGAAAGAGAAAAAAAAATGGGCCACCTAGCTTAGCTTTGCATTGGGCCTAAAGAATTGAGTTTTTGGCTCAAATTCTTTGTTTGTTGAAACGTTCAGCCTTTTTCCACACCCATTTATCTTTATTCAGTTTTATTTATTATTTGCCTCCTACTTAATTTACTGATTTATGCCCACTCAACACAATGACTAAAGGTACAATAACAACACAAACACTTAATAAAAATAAATAATAACATGAACTACATATGAAATAAACCTTCTTTTATATATACATATATATTCCTGGATTGAAAATATTGTTAACATACACTTCTTTCAACTTTCAGTATAAGAAACTTACTTCCAACACCAATTTAAGAAAAGATAAATTAAACTAATGTTACTTTATTGCAACTTGTAGCCAAGTAGACATATTTCGGAATTCAAACCACATGTCGAAATTGAAAACTAAAGCATTTCTTGACATAGCCAGCATTTATTCACAAACATGCGTACTTACCATTTCATAAACTAGAAAATATGTATTTGCAATTAACAAAGAGCTCAAGTTAAAACTTCAAACTTTATTACATCAAATTCAGAGTAATCTGAATACTACATAGTTGAGATAAATACCTAGATAGCAGAGAAGTGAGCAACAGGCAGCACAACGAACTTCAAATTTATAAAGAAACTATCAAACCAGCTCACATTAAACCAGCGACAACAGAAATCAGCTCAAGAACACCCAAATGAACTGAGAGACTGTAGACATGTGATTTTTGACCCTCCCCAAGATTTTTCACATTTTTAGCGTAAAATATTTAATTTAGGTCTAATATAGCTATTTCAACTAATTTTTACTCCTTTACTTTATTTTATTACAAGAAAAATAAAAATCACAAAAAAAAAATATTTTTCATAATTTAAAAAAAAAGAATAATATATAAAATGGTACCCTATTTTTATCTTTATATAATTTCGAAAACAAAAAAATAGTTTCATGTTTAGTTTAATTAATTAAGATTAGCTTTGGATTGTGTAGTATTTTTATCTTATTTTAAAAGGAGTCAATTAAGGTGTTGGATCATAATTTTAAGAGTTTTAGAACCCAGCTCTTGGCTCAAGTCGGACTAGTACATTAAGCCTAGGGACCCTTCTAGACTCTTCTTTGGAGTAAAACAAACAAAAAGATCCTAAGGACCTAATACACAAAAGACCTAGGGACTAATGAGCAAAATACACAAAAATACACCTAAACCTAGACTCTACCTATAAATTAATGCTTAAAAATCAAAAAAGGGGAAGGAGAACAAAAAGCTGAGTGCCACAGACCAAAAAGAACCCCCCCCCCCCCCC